CAGCTACCACATGTACATGTAGTATCAGTTGGAATTCTGGCTCCTAAGTATTGATGAGGAAGACAACACCATTATTGAACATGGCATACATCTTATTGTAGAGATGTCAGGACTCCTTTATCAAACGTGTTAAACTTAGCTGTTAAAAGGGTTAAATTAAGAGCTTATCTACCTGGAGAAAGCAACTTTGCAATATTTATGATGCAGCATTTTTACAGATGTTTATTTTTGGATTATTTTCGTTAGTCCTGAAAATCTTCAGTACAATTCGTAACGACAAAATATGAACACTGGGAATTTTCCCTTTTCTAGGCAATTTGGGTTATTGGAAAAAATGTAAACAAAGCTGCTGTTGAAACAACCTCTTTTTTTTTTTAATTATCAGGCAAACAAGAAGCAAGCATCAGCATGGGACAACTAAGATCAATGGAGGAGACAGAAACAGCTGGATCAGGTTAGTTTATATTTCTGGTATCTGACTTGTTGTTGGCAAGTGTACTTTGAAACATTGTACTGTACACATGTATATATTACTACTTTCATTAGTTCTGAGTAACTCCATCAGTTAGACATGCAATGCTAAAGTATACTGGTCGACGGTAAGAAATCGTAAGTAACTCTACAATGTGTTTGTATCTCTTATCAGGGCAAACAGGAAACACATAAACACCAAAATATCAGTGGAGGAAGTAAAATACATCAGACACGGCAGGTCAGTCAAAGTTTGATGTCAACATACTTATTGATAACTGACAGATGATTCCAAACGTAATCTGAGTCATGTTTTTATCTGAGCACCCTTACTAACTACTGATAGATAATTCCAAAGTTTAGCAGACAAATCATGTTTTGATCTCAACATTCTTACTGACAGTAGACAGGTTATTCCAAATTTTAACCAATAAGTAGTGTTTTGATCACAATGTTCTTTCTGACAACTGAACGATGATTCCAAATTTTATCAGAAAGCTCATGTTTCAATCTCAACATCCATACTGTGTAGACTTATATGTCTAGTAGAGACAAATTATCTGATGCCTAATTTATATTACAATAGGAGAATTTATCCATCTGGGACAACTGACAGATGATTCCAAATTTAAACGATAAATCATGTTTTGATCTTGGCATCTGCACTGAAAACTGACAAATGATTCCAAATTTTACCGACAAATCATGTTTTTATCTTGGCATCCATACTTACAACTGACAAATGATTCCAAATTTTACCAGCAAATCATGTTGTTATCTTGGCATTTATACT